ATAATATTCTAGTGTCTCAGAAAGGACATCTTCAGGGGCTGTGTATTGAGGAGCCTGATAGACTCATTGTCGTTGCATGCTCATCAACATTTCTTGTATAGCTAGGTTCTGCTGAGTGATATCCCTCATGTTGGCTGCCATTGTTGCCATTTCCCTAGTTAGCTTGGCTGCAACCCCTCCTCCATCCCTGGAACCTCATCTTCTGCGTAGAGGCCTCGGGCGAGCTGCTGGGGCAGCATGTGAGGGTTCCCCTTCTTCAAGGTGTTCCCTCGTTCTTCTAGGGGCATTCTCATTCGTAGAACTCATCACTCAATTGTTTAATATGTAATTTTATCCCTTTCTTCAAGGGCTTTAAGTTCTTAATAGTTCTTTTTGCAAGGACACAAATTTTTCAAGGACAAGAACCCTCATTCGCCAAACTTTAGAAACGTAGCCTGGCCTTTTTCCCATGCATGTTCGCGGTTGAATGTAGTTTTTTCCTACAGACGGTGCCAATATGCTGATTGCAAAAAATGAGCTCAACAGCTGTCGGGCCCACTCTTGCCACATCAAATATGAATCTGGCATGTTTCTACAGGGACGAGAATGGTAGTCCAGTTGGAATGGACGCAGGAGGTACTTTTCGACAAGAGACACAAATATTCGGATTTCAACGGTTTGATTTCGATGACACTTATACTATTAGCGAAAGCTCGATCGATCTTCCCAAACTAACTTTCTCTTTTGTAATAGAATATGTGGAATGATAGATATGAAAATATGGATTTCTTGGTGTTGGAATCTCAATATATCTTTTCCATTCATGTTTGTGAGATGTATGTAGGACAAAGCATGTAAATCTTCTTCCGTTTCTCCTTTTTGTTCTCCAAAAATGCTCTCTCTATTTCTATATAAAGAGAAGCTATTCATACTAATCTGGCTAACGTGGTGACCGTTGGATCATATCCATATGGCGACATCTCCTAGACCGAAGCCTCCACCGTTCTATTTGTAGGCTGACACATTGACACGCTCTATTGCAGACTTCACATCAATCACTTCTAAAAGATCTCCAAATTCGTAATAAGACGTAGCGTCGACTTCAATTTTGGATCAGGGTTAGCCTTTATTGAAGGGTTTCTGACGCTATAGGGCTTCGGACAACGTAGAGGAACCTTTGATGAGCCTCAGTATCTGCATGAAAGGGGCCTCGAAGAGAACTCTTGCTTGGCACTAAGGGACCTCTGAAATTACAAAGACCTCGGACACTAGATCCTTTCTTCGACTTTGACTTAGTACGTCATATCTCCTGACTTTTTAGCTAAGTGCTTGCGTGGCTATCCACGCTGACCACTGCTTACGTGGCCGTCTACATGGCGATCTGACCTGGGACTTCGGATTTGAGGGGTAACAATTTCTTTTCTTGCTACATTGAGAACAAAGAGTGTCAAACTTGTTGGTTTGAAGGCCCACCATGGATGAATTTATGGTTTCACTGTGTGTGGAATTTATGAAGGAAAGGACTGAATAAGATAAAGAGAATTAAAGTGAGTGAATCTGTAATTACTGCTTAGGGTTTATATAGAGAGTAAGGTGCGGGGTGTTGTAATTAGAGTATACTAATGAATTAATTATTGCCTTTAAGTGAGTTTTTACAAGCAAATAGGAGCAATCCTAAGTTCATCATAATCCTAGCAAAATCGAACCATGTTCCTATTTACAAGCTGCTTGCTTGAGTTTGTTGGACACGTGTTAATTAATGCTCTTATTTGGGACCTTAATATATCTTTTCTTTGCAACTCAGTCTTATTGCTCGAACCAGAAATCTAGGTACTTTATCACTATGGTAATTATATATTTTTTTTCACGTGAATAAGTTCAAAAATATTGCATAGGGTATGTTACTACAAAATTTGTTGGATCATAATAGGCCCCTCTTTGGTATAGATTAAAATCTAATTTTAATTTCAACTAAAAAATGAAAAATTAATTTTAATCAAATAGTTTTGTGGAATTTACAAATTTTTTGCTATAAATTTTATACACTTTTGTTAAAATTTATTAAAAATCAGATTAAATTTACACCAAACATGGGCTAAATGTATAACCATGAGATTGGATGAACACATTTAGCCTACTTATGACATTTTTTATGACTCATTTTTAATCACTCGTTTCATGACATCCTCAACATTCATAAATTTTTTCATCACAACATTAATTTTTACTAAAATATGCTAAAAAATGTTTTTTTTTAGAAACATTAATCATGGATTAAAATGCCCTCTAAGTTGTGTTGATGAAAATATCTTTACATTTATGTAATGCTTTTCTTTAGTTGAATCAGTTTTCGAATATTTAAAATATTAGGGATATAGATTGTTGTGTAAAATACGAACAGTAAAATAAAAAAGAAGAATAACATTATGATCAACAAATAAAAAATTAAGTGATTCAACGATATGCCAACATTTACTATTGTACGATGAAAATAATACACTAACTCTGAATATGATTAGATACGTTTGTTTATATGGAACTCTAATCTCGAAAGTACCCATCCAATACGATACCGCACACTAATATCATAAAAGAGATGAAGGCGAAGTTTAGAAAATATTCAAAGAATTGCCCATGTTGTACCCATTAGCTTTATTGCTTTAGTAACAGACAAAGGTTTAATATGGATGGTACAAAAGATATTATATCCTCAATTTTGAATATATTAACTTATGGATCTCAATTACAAATCGCAATTGTATAGAACTTTATGTGCTATGTATGAGTTGTATGTCGAAAAATGGTAAGAACGTTCGACGATCCCATGTAAAAAGGGTTTGTTTGTCGTTACGAGACGACAAGTAGAATAAGTAGACCAATTGAGATTGATAGCGATCTTGACGACCTTGACGGAATGGAATCCAATCTGAGGAAGACCGATTTAAATGGAAAATCTACCTTGAAGTTCCAAGCATGATCCGTCCCAATCCTTTTCAAAGGCCTTCTAACCAGAAGCTGGAATTGTCTTTAGCTACAACAAGAAAGGGTGACAAGGGAATTGAGATAATGGACATAGAAGCTTTCACTCCTATCACCCTGCGGTAAAGAAAGAAGAATCAGACAACTAGCCGTTGGGAATGATAGTGGTGATGTATATCAACCATGTTAATCATCATCATATTCTAGTAAATCATGCTATTAAGATAGTACGGAACTGACGGAGAGAATGTTACGCCTCTTTTACGGATGATCCAATTCATGGCCACATGGCAACAAGTTGCAAACACAACTATGCCCACACTCCATATCATTGTTTTACCTGGTCGAAATTAATCCACATAAAAGGTAGTCGAAGTGATGTACAACCTCTATTGAAGTTCCATGTAGAGGCCGAACCTCCATGGCTTAGATGATGTACTTTAACTTGCTGTAGAAGTGATCCAAGGCAATTAGCCTCTTGTTGATAGAAAATGTTTTCCACCTTACCTTTTTCAAGAAATATTTCGTACAAGATCTTATAATTGATTGATGTGACATATCTATAGCAGATGTCCAAACGATCAACTCGTCGTCTATTTTTTCGAGATTAGACTTAGGCTCTAGGGTGGCTACTTTTTAGAAACATTAATTTCCTGTAGCTTATGATTGATTGAGTGATACCTAGGATGAGACACCTCGGATATCGGGATGATACTACGTATTTTTTTATACAATGAAATTAAGGTTGATCTTTCTCATTTTTGTTATTTTTAAAGCTCCCAATACCCGAATAGTAACGTGACTCACGTATTCTGATCATTTCACACCATAATATACCAACACAATTGATTGACTTGACTGTCGGAATGTACGTGATCGTCTCCCCGACCTTCAAAGAAGGCCACATGTTTCTACTATCATTGAGTCCATATAGATGATGGATGAAACAAAGCCAAAACAAAGCCATCAATGCTCTTGGGAGATTTGCAAGAACTGGACCAAAGAGCCTCACATTTATATGAAGACAAGTAAGTCTTTTCTTCAGGGTTTTCTCATTGTACAATCTAATCATGATCATTGGAAGGATTAAATCAGTAGTGGATTTACAAGATTTATGGTATTACTCCAGTTCTTGTATAGTACTCACAAATGTACAACAAATGATTAGCCATAGCCTATATTGGAAGACTTTTGCATTCTTTCTGTTGATTTTTGTAAGATTTTCTTTTTGTGCATTATAAAATATACACAAATAGCTAAAGCAAAAAACCTAATAAAATTACCTGTAAAAACACATGTGACATATATAAGAGATTCCCTTGAGCCAGTCATGGCTTCAAGCGGAAGAGCATATCTCGGCCCCTTTTTGCAGTAGCCACCGTTCATCGCCGCGTGTTGCACTAGCACCACATCTGTAGCCATGTTTCCCGCTCTTTTTCTTCCTTCACTAACAATTTTAATCCCAAACCAGATAGAAAAACTGCTCAGATTAATCACCCTTTTGTGAATGTCTCTGTGTGTTTCTACGGATGCAATTCGAAAACTAAACGCCACTCAGTGCTTACAAAAGCCACGTTGAATAATAACTTGCTCTACGATGCTAAGCCCTCTTCTTTGGCTCCGTTTATCTATTACAGTGTTACGCCCTACCCGTATTTGCAGCGAATTCTAGACAATTTATATTGGTGGTTATGGAGCCGCCCTAGTTCCAGTTAACCGATTGAACTTTTGTGGAAGGAAGAAGTAAGTGGGAGTGAGGTGGTGGTGGAAATGGTAGGATTGAAAGAGATTCGGAGAAAAGAGGCGTGAATGGAGATGAATGAATGAAGGGAGGCGTGAATAGAAAGAGGCGTGAATTAGTTTAAGGTTTTGGATTATTTTTGGTTTCTATCATCTAAGCCCGTATATAATTTCATTTGGAAAAAAAGTACAAAATTTTTCGCAACAAATTAAGACCGATCACGGTGGCTCGTTTTGTGGACGTCGAGTGCTTGGTATGTCGAAAAGGACTTGCTGCACACGCTACAATTGTACGACATATTCTAGTCCAACGGAGAAGTAATAACAATAGGATAGAAGGGTTCCATTGATTTCTTGTCATCGCCGGCTGAGGCTAAAGCGCCTGTTCTTTCACTAGTGGTAGTAACAAAGGTGGATGGGGGATTTAGTATGTCTTCTATGAGTTCGATGACGGCACCGGTGGTTGGACCAGTGTGCCAACTCCTATTGTCCTGAGATAGCATCAAGAGAGGAAGTGCTGCTGCTTCTTCTATTTTCATTGGTTCATGGTTTCTTTTCTTGCTAAATTGAGAACAGAGAGTGTCAAACTCTTTGGTTTGAAGGCCCGCCATGGATGAATTTATGGCTTCACTATGTGTGGAATTTATGAAGGAAAGGACTTAGTAAGATAGAGAGAATTAGAGTGAATGAATTTGAAATTAGTGTTTAGGGTTTATATAGAGAGTAAGGTGAGAGATGTTGTAATTAGAGTATAATAAGGAATTAATTAATGCCATTAAGTGAGTTTTTACAAGCAAATAAGAGCAATCCTAAGTTGATCCTAACAAAATCGAATCATGTTCCTATTTACAAGATGCTTCCTTGAGTTTGTTGGACACATGTTAACTAATGCTCTTATTTGGGACCTTAATATATCTTATCGTTGCAACTCAATCATATTGCTCAAATCGGAAATTTGGGCACTTTATCACTATGATAATTTTATTTATTTATTTATTTGATCACGTGAATAAGTTCAAAAATATTGCATAGGGTATGTTACTACGAATGTTGCCTCATCATAATAGGCCCCTCTTTGGTATATATTAAAATCTGTTTTTAAGCTTAAACTAAAAAATCAACAATTAATTTTAATCAAACAGTTTTATTCAATTCACAAATTTTCAACCATTACTTTTATACCATTTCGCTAAAACTTAATAAAAATTAGATTAAATTTACCCCAAACAGGGGCTAAATGTATAAACTTATAAGTGAGAATGGATGAACACATTTAGCCTACTTATGACATTTTTTATGACTCATTTTTAATCACTCGTTTCATGAGATCCTCAACATTCATCAACTTTTTCATCACAACATTAATTTTTAGTAAAATCTACTAAAAAATGATTTTTAGCAAAACTAATCAATGGCTTAAAATGCCCTCTAAGTTGCATGGCTGAAAATATCTTTACATTGTAACGCTTTTCTGTAGTTGTATCAGTTTTCGAATATTTAAAATACTAGGGATATAGATTGTTGTGTAAAATAAAAAAGAAGAATAACATTATGCCCCTGTTTGGCACCCATTTTCATTTTCATTTTCATTTTTTTCTCTTTCTTCATTTCAACCATACATTCTCCCAATAAAATAATATTACACACAAATCTAAAACTTTTTATAACTTTTCCACCACACATTCTCCCATCAATCACTATTCCAAAAATTCTATTCTTAAAAAAATGGGTGTCAAACAAGTTCTATGATCGACAAATAAAAAATTGTGTGATTCAACAATATGCCAACATTTACTGTTGTACGTTGAAAATAATCCACTAACTCAGAATATGTTTAGATACGTGTGTTTATATGGAACTCTAATCTCGAAAGCACCCATCCAATACCATACCGTACACTAATATCATAAAAGAGATGAAGGTTAAGTTTAGAAAATATTGAAATAATTGCCCATGTCGTACCTATTAGCTTTACTGCTTTACTAACAAACATAGGTTTAATATGGAGGGTACAAAAGATATTATATCCTCAATTTCAAATATATTAACTTATAGATCTCAATTACAAATCGCAATTGTATAAAACTTTATGACATGTATGAGTCATATGTCGAAAAATGGTAAGAATGTAAAAGGGTTTGTTTGTTGTTACAAGACGACAATTAGAATAAGTAGACCAATTGAGATTGATAGTGATCTTGACAAGCTTGTCGGAATGGAATCCAATCTGAGGAAGACCGATTTAAATGGAAAAACTACCTTGAAGTTCCAAGCATCATCCATCCCTATCCATTTCAAGGGCCCTCTAAACAGAAGCTGAAATCGTCTTTAGCTACAACAAGAAAGGGAGACATGGGAATTGTGATAATATAGTAGATGTCCAAACGATCTTTTTCAAGAAATCTTTCGTAAGCGATCTTATAATTAATTGATGTGACATCTCATAGTAGTTGTCCAAATGATCAACTTGTCGTCTATTTTTTCGAGATTAGATTTTGGGTCTAGGATGGCTACTTTTTAGAAACATTAATTTCCTACAGCCTATGATTGATTGCGTGATACCTAGGAGGAGACACCTTCAATATTGGGATGATGCTACGTATTATTTTATACAATGAAAGTAAGGTTGATCTCTTTCATTTTTGTTACTTCTAAAGCTCCCGATACCCGAATAGTAACTTAAGTCACGTATTCTGATCATTTTACACCATAATATACGAATATGATTGATTGACTTGAAAGTCAGAATGTACACGATCGTCTCTCCTACCTTTGAAAAAGGCCACATGTTTATAACAATTTGTCCAATTGTGTAAGAGCTTATCTACATAGATGTGAGAGGACCCAAGATCTATTGACCTGTTACTCGTGTAGAAACCAAGGTCAATAAAAAGCTTGGCATCAACTACTATCATTGAGTCTAGCACAGATGATGGAGGAAACAAGGCCATCAATGCTTTTGGGAGATTTGCAAGAACTGGACCAATGAACATCTCATTTATATGAAGATAAGTAGGTCTTTTCTTTAGGGTTTTCTCATTGGACAATCTTTTTACTATCATTGGAATGATTGAATCAGTAGTGGGTTTACAAGATTTATGCAGCAAATGATTAGCCATATCCCATATTGGAAGACTTTTACATTCTTTTTGTGGATTTTTGTAAGAATTTCTTTTTGTGCATTATAAAATATACACAAATAGCTAAAGCAAAAACCTAATAAAATTTCCTGTGTAAACATAGGTGACATAAATAAGAGATTCCCTTAGGTCAGCCATGGCTTCAAGCGGAAGAGCATATCCCGGCCCCTTTTTGCAGCAACCACCATTCATCGCTGCGTGTTGCACCACCACCACCACATCCGTAGCCATGTTTCCTGCTCTTTTTCTTCATTCACAAACAATTTTAAGCCCAAACTAGATAGAAAAATTGATTAGATTAATCTCCCTTTTGTGAATGTCTTTGTGTGTTTCTACGGATGCAATTCGGAATCTAAATGCCACTTAACGCTTCCAAAAGCCACGTTGAACTATAACTTGTTCTACGATGCTAAGCCCTCTTCTTAGGCTCCATTTCTTTGTTGCAGTGTTACGCCCTACCTATATTTGTAGCGAATTTTAGACAATTTATATTGGCGGTTATGGAGCCGCCCTAGTTCTAGTTAACCGATTGAGCTCCCGTGGAAGGAAGAAGTAAGTGGCAGTGAAGTGGCAATGAAATGGTGGGATTGAAAGAGATTGGGAGAAAAGAGGCGTGAATGGAGGAATGAATGGAGGGAGGTGTGAATTAGTGTATGTGTTTGGGTTATTTTTGGATTATATCACTTGAGTCTCTATATAATTTAATTTGAAAAAAAAGTATAAAATTTTTCGCACTGTTCAGAAAACGTTGCTAAATATGAACTTTTCACAACGTTTTGTAAAAAGTTATCTGTTCGCAACAATTAATAAACGTTGTAGATGGTTTTATATTGAGAGTTTCTACAATATGCCCTAAAAGTTGCTATAGAACCCAATTTTAACAACTGTCAAAAAACGTTGCAAAAACTTAAACTCTTCGCAACATTTATAAAACGTTGTAAAAGGAACATTAAAAATGTTGCGAAAGCTCAATTATGTTAGCCAATAGCAACATTCACTTGCTAAAATGTTGCCATAGACCCTTTTAGCAGCATTTAATCAACGAATGTTGCCTTTTACGTGTTGTAAAATGCTATTTTTGGTGTAGTGCGAACTGCCATGCAATAACATGTATCTACACACCATGGAGGTAGAAAACATTTCAAAGCTCATCTAATACTCGAAATAAGATTCCAGGGAGTCAAATCGAAAAATTGGTGGCCCTGAGGTTGAAAGGAGGTGTACGTGTCTTTACTTTTTAAGACAACATATTTTTTCAAAAAATATTGTTTTTAAAAAAATAAATAAAAATAAAAATACTATGGACTTTTTTAACATACATTTTAGAAAATATCACTTTTTACGAATCAAATACACTCTAAATTTCTATTAGGTCGATTTGAACTTGCTCTATCATTTATGCCAAATAAAAGTAAAACACACATTAACTGAATCCTCATGCTTAATTATTTTATTTCAACTCCAATGACAAAACCATGTATTTGACATGGCGGAGATTTCTCAAATAAGCATCAGGGACAATAAAATTAAGAGGAAATTACACTAGACCAGGTCTTTAGTTTTAACTTTTTAAAAATCAGGTTTTGACTTTTTTAATCAAATATCAGGTTTTATTATTTTTAATTAATAATAATGGTATAAAATAAAAATAATATATTATACCCACCCTACTCCCTACCTACCCCCACCAATAAAATCCGAACTCTATCCAAACCCTACCATAATCCATTTCATTTCTCTC